GTGACCACGAAGATGCCGATGCCGATGACACCGATTATAATGAAACTGATGATGATGATGATGATGATGATGATGATGGCGATGATGATAATGAGGATGATGAGTGTGATGGTGATAATGATGGTGGTGATGATGACGGTGACGATGGTGAAGGCGATGATGCCAAGTGGTGGTGATGATGGTGATGACGAAGCAAGGTTTGCGCGCGGAGCGCGCGGAGTCCGCGTGCAGAGCGCGGGTTCCGCTGGGAGGCGCTGGGATGCTTCGGTACGGGAACGGCACCCATGCGCTGCTCGATGTCTGGACTCTCCTCAGGCCACGCTCCAACTCAGTAGTTCAGCTCTAAGGGGCCGAAGTCGTCCGCAGACTTGGGCCGCAGGAGCGCGCTGTCGAGAGAAGGCGAGGCCCGGGCGAGCCTCGCCAAGTCAGGTCGCACGGATAAGCCCGGTGAGACCCAACTCCTTGGCTCGCGGTGGTCCGGTGGTCCGTGGCCGTACAGAAAAGACCCCCCGGTCGCCCATAGCCGTTTTCTTCCCCCGTTCACGTCCCAATCCTGTTGCCAGAGCCCCTGTCCTTCACATGCCTCCCGATACTCGCAACTGATGATTTCCGCTTGGCGCCATATTCGACGTTGCCTCATCGAAGCGTGCGTCAACCGCTCAACTCATCACCGCACAACGCATGCCGACTTTCGAGCAAACTCGAAAGCCAAATCTGCCGCCACCAGTTCAGGTTGTGAAGCAGAGCAGGCATACGTCATGAATGCACCCCTTGCCCGAGCCAGTTCTGCCACACACTGCGCCCACTTGTGCTTGGAAACAACAGCGACGAACGCGCTGGCGCACCACGCCCCGCTTTGAAATCACAATCGGAATACAGCTGCAAATGGGCGCCCGTCCCTGGGGCATCAGCGATGCTTCGAATGTCGATGTGTCTCACGTCATGCTGTAGACCCAGGCATACGTTGCACGCCACATCGGCGGCCTTGTTGCACTCTCGCGCCTGGGCGTTGCGATGCCCTGCTTTATGCCGAAACGTGTCCATGAAGAGGAAGTACCTTTTTTTTGATTTGCTCGCGGGCGATCGTCTGCCGAACACTCCTGCCCGTGGCGCCGAAATGACGAGCGAGGGGCCCGAAGGAAGGGCCGAAAGAGACGAGGGACGGACCCCAGGAACCCAGACAGAGCCGAGCGAGGGACCCGACCGAACACACAGGGACAACGAAAAATCGAGGGCCCGAAACAGAGTGCAACGAGTGTTAACTTAATTAACACTCCTTAAATCAAGCGGGGCGGTACTAGAGAGAGATCTCAAGACGGCCTCCACATCTCAACCACCCGAGACAGCCCGCTTCCCGCGGTTGACACGTAGAGCGGGCCGATCAAGATGGTCATTATCATCTGGTGGCCGGAACGAGTTCGGCGGGAAGTGGAACGGCGTTGCCTGAGCAGCATGCGCTCTGAGCCACGCACGTGCCACGGCTTCCCGAGCATACCACCAATCAGCGCCAGGAACGACGGCGCGAGGTCGACGATGCACACGAACAGCTTGACCAGGTGTTCTGAGCCAGACGTGCGCCACGGCATCGCGAGCACTCCACCAAGCAGCACCAGGAACAGCGACGTGAGTAGAAGGGCCAGACACGGCCGTCACAGCCTCCTTCTGGAAGCCGACGTCGAAACGAAAGCGTACAGGTACAGCAGGCGCAGCTTGTAGACCAGCAGGCTCTCGATGAGGAAAGAGTTTCCCAGGATCTCGAGGACCAGCAGGCTCTCGAAGACCAGCAGGGTCACGAAGATCAGCAGGCCCTCGACGAGGAGGAACATCACGAAGACCAGCAGGCTCTCGATGAGAAGCAGGAACATCATGAAGACCAGCGGGATCTCCACGAAAGTTGTATAGACCCACTTCAGGAGGAACCAAATGATCAGGAAGTTCGAAACGACACGGCTCAGGAAGGTCGTCAGCAAGAACAGCTTGAAGATCATAAGGTTCTCGGCGAGCAGCGAGTTTTCCAGGCTCCAGACCAGCAGGCACTCGAAGACCAGCAGGCTCTCGATGACCAGCAGGCTCTCGAGGAGCAGGAACATCAGGAGCGTCACCATGATGTAAATCAGGAAGGTCGCCGTAGCGGCTCGCATCTGTGGCTGGCGGTGCCCAGCAACCAGGAGCGAGCTCTGCATTCACATGAACAGGATGTCGGGGCTGGAAGGGAACGGCCTCGGCGTTGAGCGGAAAGGCCATCATCTTCAGCGTCGACTCGAGGACAACGGCCCGAACAGCCGCAGGCAGCGGCGGCGGCATCCCGCTCGCGCATGGCGGCGGGGCGTGGCGGCACCAGTTGCCAGTCTCCAGGGCGTCGATGGTATCCTGGAGCTCCGCGTCGTCGAGCCCCACCAGGCGGGCCGCCGCGATCGCGGCGCCCAGCGTGGGAATGCGGCCGCCCAGGCGATCTCCAAGGCGCCAGTGGGCGCCGAGGGCGACACGGAGGCCACGCAACCGGCAGGACAAAGCGGCGGCCCTCGTCTGCCCGAGCTGCGCCCTCCGTTCGCGTCGAAGGCGCCGAGCCAGGGTCCGAGCACTCGCCGCAGCCCAGGCTTTGCCGCCAGCAGTGACAGCGCGAGACATTGCGGCCGCTTGCGCGCATGCGCCTGGAGCAGGCGCGCTGGCGAGGGCCTCCCGAAGCGCGGCTCGCTTGAGCCAAAATGGCTACGGAAGAGGAAGTACCTTCGTTCGCGTATTCTCTGGGCGATGGCGTCGTGCGACGGGCTCGTGACATGCAGTTCCTAAGTAATGAGGCCATGCAAAGTGCTGTAGTCAAACGCGAATTCGAGCTGAAGCCTGTCCGAAACCAACAACCACAACGAATCACATTGCAACCTCGTTGGCACGACCACGCCCATCAAATTCCTAACCTCTGGCGCAGCGTCGGGCCGACGAGCTTCGGGCTGGGCGTCAAAAGGTGGTGGATCTGGCAATGTCAACGCGCGACGCGCTTCCAGCGCGAAACCGCCCCTGCCCGACTTCCAGTCCTGGGCGCTCTTGCATCCGACAGGCTGCTCTGCCATCCCATGCGCCATGTAAAGTTACAGAGGTCATCGGAGCGTTCGCGGCGCCCTGGCCGCGCGCGCACCCCGTCGTTGCCGCGCCTTCTCTTTTAGAGGACCTCGCGACTTGCCAGTTCTCATCGTTCCAATTATTTGTTCGTCCCTGATCGCTGCCAGCTGCTCGGCGGCCGTCTTGGCGCGCCGCAGCTGCATGCGGAGACGTTCCAGTATGGCGACGTGCATGGGCTTGGGCTTGGACTTTGTCGTCCACAACGTGATTCTAATAACTGTTCTCAAATCGCACTCGACGCGCCCCATCCAAGGGCCCACGGCGCATCCGGAGAATCAGCCGCCCCACCCCCCCCCCCCCCCTAACGCACGGCCCCCATCAAAGAGCGCGCCCTCCACTTGTAATCGGGGCGCAAATGAAGCGCGACAGTCCTCGGGCCCGCTCTGCATGCCCCAAGTATAATGCTGACGGGAGCTTTGCCCATGAACTGCCTGCGGCACTTCTGGCATGCCGCCTCGCCTTTCGAGAAGCGATGCTGTCGCGGCGCTCTGGCCAGGCAACTCCTGCCCAAGATGCCGCCTAAGGCCCCGATGGTCGATCGGATCTTGAAACCACAAGTGCTGCTGACCGCACTCAACGACGCATTCTTCGCCTGGCATGTCGTTGCCAAAGACCACCAGCTCAATGAGATTATGCCCATGCCCACGTGCACCGATCCGTCGCGGCAGATGCGAGAGACCTTGCCATGCGAATGAATTTGGTCGACGCCATCTGCGAGGATGAAAACGGCGTGCACCCAAACAACACTTCGGATATTATGCCCCGTCCCTTTGCGGGTGAAACCAATGCCAAATAGTTCCCAATCTGTCACAAGTTCGCGTAGAGGCCTGTCGAAACAAAGATCAGAGAACATGTATCTATATACATATATATATATATATACATGGATCTGCTTTGCCGCGGGCCTTCGGGCTCTTCGTCGTGGATGCCGCCCCAATTTCTGCGACGTCGGTGACTGCCAATCGCGCAATGACTCCGGCAACTGCCCGTGCTAGCGCCAAGACTTGGTGCGCGGAGGCCCCCGCATTCGCGAGTTCGCTCAGGGTGTCCCCGGGCCGAGTCGAAAATAGCGCGCGCAGCCTGCGCTCCAAGTACCAGCCTGGCGTCTTGCCAGGAAGTAGCATAGAACACTATCTCATGGAGCAGCGCGATCAGGTCATCGACAGACGCGCCAACGTTGCATCAATAATTGTGTAAATGTCAGGTCTAGCCACAAACCTGGGGATGCTGGCGCGCGCGAGTGCCTGGTACAGCTTAACGATGTGACCGATTATCCCAAGTCAACAGAATTGCGGAATGGGTAATTTGACTTTGGCGATCCCCCTGTCAAAATAATGTGTCCAACCTCTGTACTTCAATCATCAACGTCATTCCATCTCCTGCGAAAAAAATCATTCATCCGGCTCTTCAGACAGTGAAGCGAAAACTTCCACGCCCATCAAAAAATCTCGTCCGAACCTGGAGCGCCGTCGTCGGATGGCCGGGCGATGAGCCCTGCGAAATGTCCCAAACATGGTCAGCCAATGATGGAACCGCCCATCGCCTGGTTCTTCGCAACGGCCCGCAACTCCGCAATCTGTCGCTGTACGATTGCCTCGTCGGCCGCGCTGCCCTGGAATTTGAACTTCGCGACGTCCTCCAAAGCACTTTCCCTGCAATCCCGGAGTGGCCTTTCGGTACCATCGATACTCAGAGCCATTGGTCAAGCCAAATATGCCTTTCTTTCTCGATGGCTTCCAAATCCCTGGGGAACTAGCCGATACTGCTATAACGTGGACCAACCACACAAGCGCCCGATCTAATGCAAGCATGTCCGTTTGGAACACCGTGCCGTCCACTGGGATAACATACCTTCAGCATACCAAGGCCCATACAGACTTCTCCCCTCGAACTCGCCAGACACACAAACGATGATGGAAGCTGCCGCGCATTGTTCCGACCGCCAACCCCCATCGGATGACAATATTGGCGGTCTGCGGGTTCAAGCTTGTGATGTACAGCTTGCCCCAAGTCGCCATCCTGTCCATGGTAAGGTCCCCTAGGCCATCAACTACCTTGTTGTGTTTCTCAGGCATCCACTGCACTGGATCTTCAGACAGCCGGGGATGTTCGTAGTCCCAGCGCGTACAGTCTGCATGTCCGCCATGCGATCGAACACCGGTCTGTCTGAGCCCGCGTGCAATGATGCCCGCCCACACAGCACGTCGGCCAACATTTTGGAATCACGTAGAAACAAGAAACATCCGTAAAAAAAGCCAAATGCCTTCAAAACTGCCTTGTTGGACTGGTTGTTGCACGTGTTTCTGGCGGGGTGATTGTCAGTGTCGTTGCGGCGACCTTGTTTCCGATCGTCCATCAAGCTCTGCATGTAATATATGTGTATATCTAAATAAATCGTCATCGACAACCTGTGGCGCAGGCTGCACGGATATGTTGCGCAAGGCTTCCTGGATGTCTTCGCAGAAATTCTGCAACGAGTTGCAACGTTCCTGCACGTCTGCCAGCTGTTGTCAAAATCTGATATCGACAAAGAAATCGCCCAACCTCAATTCCTGTTGCTGTTGTTTGAACTTGCGAACGCCCCTGCGATTATCGTGGATGTCCCAACCGGCCGTGGCCTCCGCAACACTGGACAATCATCCGACTTCTGAAAATCAGATTTCGGTCCATTGTCAATGCCAGGATAAGCCCAAGACGATGCAGCAACGTCAGAAGAAATACAAATATAATCGGGATGGGTTTTCGTCCTGACAGCGCGTGTCCTCCCAACACGGGTGGCAAGCAGTCGCTTGCCCAAGGCATCACCAAAGGTGTTATCATGGTTGGAATCCAAACGCTACAAGAAACTATAAAACGTTGACATACCAGGCCTGTGTCCCGGAACTGCGGTACCAACGCAACTTCCGATGTAAGGGGAAGCCGAATACGGTTGCTTCAATGTGACAGTCGCGTCCATTCCCAAACATACGTGGGCTATCAATCCACGTTCCTTGACGATGTCCCTTGCAACGCAAATGTCTTGCGCTAGCTTGTCAAGATCGGTTTGTTCTGAAGGGGCTCCTCTGAAACTGTTTCAGGCTGCTTTTCAAATGAAATCCATGTAAAGGCGATTTGCACACCTGTTCCTGTTGTGCGGATTACACATCGACTCCTTACTGTGCGTTTTTACACTCGGACTCCTCTGGCAAACAATATACAACTGAATTCCGAGTGTTTGACACATATAATCCTTGTCGTGCGGCTTTGCACTCGTATGCTTTTTGCAGGCGCTGTACATGTTGATTCTTAGTGTGGATTATACATAGAATATTTATGTGCGCGGCTCCACCATAGGAATATTGCTATGAGAAACATGAAACTCATTTCTGCTATAAAACCTGAGTGGTACTACACACTGGTAGAGGGCACGTGAAAACGACATGCCAGAAAACACGCAATGCAAGACACAACGAAACAACAAAGAACAGCAGAAGACAGGCGTGGGAACATCGAGAAAGAAATGTCGCCCCAAGTGGCCCCCAAGAGGCCAAAAAGAGGCCCCCGAACAGCCCCCACGAGGCTTCAAACTGCCTCCAGGAGGCCGCCGAGATGCCCCCACGAGATCCTAACGAACATCCAAGAGGCCTCTCACCCACGACCCAGGCACGGTAGCGGGATGGGCAAAAGGCCATCGATCCGCCACCCCCCGTCGACTTATCATAAGGATGCCTGACGTGCTAGATCCCTGGGGCTTCGGCCCCACCCGCCGGCCACCCGGACAGCTCCCCAAATCCAATTCTCGGTGATTAAACCGCTTCCAAGACGGCCAACATGGCCCACGATGGCCTCCAAGATCAAGACGCTTCTGAGACAGCCAAGATGGCCCCAAGAAAACCAGAAATGACCCCAAAATGCACCCAAGACGGCCCAAGATGCACCCCAGACGGCCCAAGATGGCTTCAAGAAGACCCCAGACGGCCCCAGAGGCACCCAAGAAGACTCCAAGAGATCCTCCAGGAAGGCGCGAAGAGGCTGACATCATAGATGCTCCCATGCGTTTTAGATGTGCTTGGCATTTGCGTCTTCTCGATCTTCCGAAGGCCCAAGTCGGCCCAAGAGGCCCCAAATATCACCTCTAGAGCGCCTAAGAGGCCTCTAAGATGGCCCCGGGCCAGCCCAAGAGGCCCCCAGGACTGCCCAAAGGGGGCCAACTTGGTCCCAAATGGATGGCCTCCGAGACGGCCCAGCGAGACTCCCAAGATGCCACAAAGAAGCCCCCCAGGAAGCCAAAGGAGGACCCCAAGATGTCTCCGAGAGGCTCCCAGGAAGTTCCCAAGAGGTCTCACGAATGACCCCAGAAGCTCCCATGAGGTCTCCTCGTTCTTTTGCTCAGCCTCCTTTTTCGTCCCTCTCCTCGTCCTCCCCTTCCTCCCCCACGTGTTCCCCGAGGAGCTTCCACTACGGCTGCGGGAACGCATGGTCCCATAGCGTGGCCAAACTCTGCCCAAACGTTTGGCCACGTAGTCGCATCCTAAAAGGCAGGGCGCGGCGGTGACTCGCCGCAGGCGTCCTCGGCAGCATTCACACACAAACGCGGCGCACGATGATTATTTCTGATCATCGTTGGACCTATCCCCTGCGGGCAATGTCTATATCCACATCCAGTGCGCCTTGGAGTTTCGGACTCTCTTCCCAAGAAACATGAGGCGCACTGAATATGGATTATAATCTGCCTCCAAATGGCTCGATGCTTATCCATATCCAGTGCGCCTCGGCCTTGCGGCGCCCCTTCCAAGAAAGTCCAAGACGCACTGGATATGGATATAAAAATTGCCCGCATCCCCATCCCCACTGGCCCGGCCTTGCCCCTCTGGCCAACTGGTCACCCTAGGTAGGCCTAGGCGGGGATACCCAGGATACATGCTGCTCCACTCGCATGTCACCGGGCCTGTCACCTCGGGGTCCCCACGGGGGGGGAAGGAATGAGAACTGGGGAGCCGGGTCCTGATGGAAACGTGTTCTGGACCCTCGGGCTTTCCCCCAAAACTAATTCTTCATCCCGAATGTCTTTTCCTAACGGCGAAAAACCTCAGGACCTATTTCTCTCAGGGCCGGCCTCCCCAATGGGGAGGGAATGGAGGGGCTGACTAGTAGGGGCGAGATAACATGGCCCAATGGGGATGCGTCGTCGGATGCACGCCCGCGCAGGCGCGACCACCGCCATCCTCATCCTTGCCCTCCTCGCCCTCCTCGTCCTCCTCCTCCTCCTCCTCCTCCTCCTCCTCCTCCTCGCCGTCCTCGTTGTCCTCCTCGCCGTCCTCCAACTCATCCTGCTTCTCCTCGTCATCCTCCTCATCCTCCTCATCCTCTTCCTCCTCGCCGCCCTCCTCGTCCTCCTCCTCGTCGTCCTCCTCCCCCTCCTCCTGGTCATCCTCTGCGTCCTCCTCGTCCTCCTCCCTGCGTCCTCCCCCTCCTCGCCGTCTTCCTCGTCATCCTCTACGTCCTCATCGTAGTATTCCTCGCCCTTCTCGCCATCCTCCTCGTCCTCCTCCTCCTCGCCCTCATCGCCGTCCTCCTCCTCGTCCTCGCCCTCATCGCCCTCCTCGTTGTCCTCCTCCCTGCATCCTCCTGGCGGGGCCCGAGGGAGTGCCTCTGGGGAGGGCGCCGCCCAGGCGTCGGAGTCGGAGTCGGTGGCCTCGGGCGCGCCATCGCTCTCCGTCCTCCCCCCTCTCCTCCTCCTCATCCCCTTCTCCTCCTCCTCCTCCTCCTCCTCCTCCTGCTTCTCCTTCTCCTCCCCTCCTCCTCCTCACCCTCCGCCTTCTCCTCTATCCTCCTCCTCCTCCTCCTCCTCCTCCTCCTCCTCCTCCTGACTATCCTTCGGCCTCCTCCTCCTCCTCCTCCTCCTTCTCATTCCTCCTGCGCCTCCTCTTCCTCCTCCTCCTCCTCCCCCTCCCCATCCTCCTCCTCTGCCTTCTCCTCCGCCTCATTCCGCCTTCGTCCGCTTGGTCCTACTGTTGCTGCTGCTGCTACTGTTGCTGCTGCTGCTGCTGCTGCTGCTGCTGCTGCTGCAGCTACTCATCCTGCTCCTCCTGCTGCTGCTGCTCCTCCTCCTCTGCATCCCCTCCTCCTCCTCCTCCTCCTCCTCCTCCTCCTACTCCTCCTCCTCCTCCTCCTCCTCCTCCTCCTCCTCCTCCTCCTACTTCTCCTGCTCCTCCTCCTCCTCCTCCTCTTCCTCTTCCTCCTCCTACTCCTCCTCCTCATCCTGATCCGCAGCCTCAACCTCATCCTCTACCTCCTCCGCCACCTTCGCCTCCGCCTACAACTCCTCCTCCTCTTCCTCCTCCTCCTCCTCCGCCTCATCAGCAGCAGCAGCAGCAGCAGCAACATCTTCATCAGTATCATCACCGTTGCCATCGCCATCACCATCACTATCACCGCCATCACTGCCACCAGCATCATCAAAATTATCCTATCCTCATCATACTCATAATCGCCAGTGTAAGCATCATCATCAGCAGCAGCATCAGCGTCATCAGCATCATAATCATCAGAACCAGCATCATCAGCACACTCACCATTATCACCATCAACAGCATCAACAACAGCATCACCAGCATCATCATCATGATCGTCATGATCCTCATCGTCGTCATCATCACCACAACCATCATAATCATCATCATCAGCATCAACAGCAGCAGCAGCATACACACCATCATCATGTTCAGCAGCAGCATCGCCAACATCCCCCTCATCATCACCACCATCATAGTCAGCAGAAACATCACCAGCATCGTCAGCATCAGCATCATCACCATCACCCTCGTCAGCACTATCAGCACCAACATCACCGTCAGCATCACCGTCAACAGCATCAGCAGCGTGAGAGTCAGCATCAGCATCCTCATCATCAGCAGCAACAGCATCATCAGCAGTATCATCCTCATCGTCATCATCAGTATCGGCATCGGCATCGGCATCGACATCAACATGACCATCACCATCACCACCATCAGCATAATCGTCATGATCAGCATCATCCTCATTACCACCACCACCATCAGCATACGCATCAACATCGTCATCATCATCGTCGTCGTCAGCATCACCATCCTCACCCTCCTCCTCATCCTCCTCAGTCTCATCTTCATCACCATCTTCATCCGTCATCCCCATCCTCATCCCCATCTTCGTCCTCATTCCTCAGTATCCCTCCTGCGTTCTCCCCGATGCCTCCTAGACGCGAAAGCCGCAGCAAGGCACCGACTCGAATGAGAGGGTGGGGATGCGGGAAAGACGCCTGGGCACCGCGAGAACTCCTCATTATTCCTCCTCCCCTTCTCATATTCCTTATGTTCCTCCTCATTCCTCCTCCTCCAACTCCTCGTCATCATTCCTCCTCATCCTCTTCCTCATTCCTCCTCCTCCTTCTTCCTCCTGCTCCTCCTGAGGCTCCTCCTCATCCTCCTCATTCCTCCCCATCGTTTGTCAAGCCTGGATTATCGTTTTCATCCTGCTCATCATGTCTCTCCCACCTCCCCGAAGACCGAAGAAGAGGAGGAGGGAGCGAGGAGGGAGGATGAAGACCAAGACGAACTCCTCCTCCTCGAGGAGGAGGAGGAGGAGGAGGGGGGGGGAGTGAGAATGAGGATCAGTATGATCGACGACGACGACGACGAAGACGACGACGACGAGCGGGGCGCAACCTCGCTGAGCATCGGCGACAAGTCGGCGGGGCTGTCCCCGCGGACCTGCGTGCGCGCGCGGCGCCGCCTCTCCGGCAGGGACCCCCTCCTCGCTCCTGTCCTGCCGCGCACGGGGAAGCCCGTCGGCCCTCCTCCCTCCTTTCCCCCCCCCCTCCCTTACAACCTCCCCCTCTCCCCCTCCCCTCTTCGCTCTTCGCTCTTCGCTCGTTCCCCCGCCTCCTCCCCTCCCTCATCTGGCCCTCCCGCCCCCCCCGCACCCTCCTCCCCCCCCCCCCTCTCGGCCCCTTGCCCTCCCGGCCCCTCGCCCTCCCCCGCCCCCCGATCTCCCCTCTTCCCTCTACGCTCGCACCCCTCGCCCCCTCCCCTCCCTCATCTGGCGATCTCCCCTCTTCTCCTTCCGCCGCCCCTCCCCCATGTCACCCTTTTTCCCCTGTCAGCTGCAGCGGCCCAAGGGCACGCAAAAAGATAGACACAACTACCAGGAATCCCCATTTCTTCCCATATGTTATGGTTTCCGTCTTCCCTCCCACTTCCCATCGTTTCCTGCATGTTCCTGGGAGCCGACGATTGGGAATTGTGTCGGTGTTGTTCTTCCCTGCCGAACAGCGCGCGTCGATACCCCAGCCTCTCCCGCGTGCCGACTCTTCGACCAAAACATAAGGTACAATGTGTGTTCGATCCTAACGTCGCCAGCCTGCAGAAACTGCGCTCCCGCTCCAGCGCTGGCGCATTTCAGAACGGCCCTCTCGCCCAAGCGCGGGACACATTCCTGGATTCGAGCCCATCCTCCTCGTGGCCATCCCCATACTTTCCCCTCCTTCGTCTTGCGCAGATGATGTTGCTGCTCCTACGTCTTCTGCTCGTCGTTCTTCTCTTCCTCCATCATTATCCTCCACATTCTCATCCGCCTCCTCCTCGAATGCGCAAGAGCTCCCCCTTCCGGATGGAAGAACAAACGATGTGGCAAATCCTGAGCCGCCATTTGGGGATTGATAACATCTTGGACACAATCGGCGGATACACAGGGGTCAACGTAATGAGGGATATTGGATGGGAGTTAGATGTCAGATGTGGTGCAAGCGTACCTGGCTTGTCTCCCCCCCCTCTCCATTCGCCCTTCCCCTCCCCGTCACCTCCGTTTCTCCCATCCCATCGACCCTGTCATCCCTCCCTCCCCTTCCTCCCATCTCCTTTAACTATTCTCCTCGCTCCGCGAACTCTGACGGGAAGATGCCTGGCCCTTCCCGCCAACACACAGCATTTCAAACATTGGTTTGTTTCAAGTTTGTGTTGCAATCCGATTGTTTTCGGAGTTTGAAGGCTCATTTTCGGATCGGCGCTTTGCAGCCGTCCTTCCGAGCGGCGCTCTGGCCACATAGCGGGCTACTTTTCTGGATCCGAATCACGTTTCATTGTTGACGCCCCCCTCCTTTGTCCCTCCTCCGCCGTCCCCTTGTCCTCATGATCCTCCCGCACTCCAGCTCCTTCTGCTACTGTTCGTCCTCGTCTGCCTCCTCCTCCTCCTCCTCCTCACTACCTTTAGTGGTTTGCGCCTCTTCTGTGGGGTGCGAACACGTTTCTTGCCCTGGCGTGTTTGCGACGCGTTGACGTGCCGTTGACGGCAACACCATCTCCTTCGCCTTCCGGGTCTTCGCCCCCGGTCCCTGTCCGCGGCGTACCTTCTCATGTGCAAGCTCTTCGGCACCGCCTGCACCCCGGGCTCCGGCCGCTCCGGCCGCCTGAGGCCCCGCCTTCCTGTGCCCTGTCTCCCTAATTAAAGCTGTGCGTAGCCCGCCTAGCTTTTAGCGGAAGAGGTTCGCTCTCGCCCCGCAGACCCCAAAAAAGTGTTTGCGACGCGTTGCGTACATGTTCTATGCTGCGTCCTCCTCGTCCTCCTCGTCCTCTTCCTCCTCCTCCTCCTCCTCATCCTCCTTCTCCTTATTTGCCGATTTCGCATGACACGATAGGGGTCTGTCTGGGAGTCCCAGGTCCGCTACGGTCTGGGAGTCCCAGGTCCGCTACGACACGCGTCCGCGGATAGAGAGAAACTGAAGCACAATTGTAAGGGACGCGAGGGAGGGGTAGGTCGCCAGATATGGCACCTGACTAGCCTATTACCCTCCCCTCTGATGGGCCTGTTTCCCACCACCACCACCACCACCACCACCACCACCACCACCACCACCACCAACACCATGAGTTGGAGTGGGAGGGGGTCCTCCTCCTTATCCTTCTCCTCCTCCTCCTCCTCCTCCTCCTCCTCCTTCCCCTCTCCAACTTAATTATGGTGGTGGTGGTGGAAAACAGGCCCACCATCCTCCCCTCCCCCTCCTCTCTCTCCTGCCCTCTCCGTCGCAGCCAAGCGGGCTCATGTCCACGCGGGGCGAAACTAGCGCCGCCGAACAAGAACCCGCGGGCCGAAGCCGGCGCCGCCGAACATCCGGTGCTCGCCTCAGCGGCCCTCGCGGACCACCGTGGCCCCAGGCCCCGGCCAGGGCGCTGGCGGCGGTGCCGCCAGCGGCCCCCCGCGCCGCGGGCGACGGGGCCGGCGCGGAGGGCTCCCGAGACGGGTGCGCAGGTGGGTCAGCCAGGCGTCAGTGCGCCTGCTCCCCTGATGGGCCTGTTTTCCACCACCACCACCATAAGTTGGATGGGGTGAAGGAGGTGGAGGATGAGGAGTAGGAAGAAGAGGGGGAGCAGGACCCCCTCCCCCCTCCAACTTGTGGTGGTGGGGGGGAACAGGCCCATCCTCCCTGCACGGGGCCCCGAGGGCCGATCTGCGGCAGTGGCTGGCCACCTCCTGACGGCCAGCCCCGGCAGGCCCGCTGTCGGCCGCCGGGTGGTCACCCGGCAGTGCTGCTCCTGCGCCCGCCGCAGGCTCGGGCGCCTGCCCCCGCGCTCCTCCGACGCTCGGTCCTCCTGTGCCTGCCGGCGTCGCAACAGCTGGTGCTCTTGCTGCGGTTGCGCCCTCCTGGTGGCCTACGCCGCCACCCTCGCGGACGTCCTCCCCGTCGCCCCGTGGCCGGCGATGCTGATCGTTCCGAGGCTGCTCCAAAGCGAGCGCAAGATGCTCCGCATTCTGGCGCGGCCGGCGCAGACAGGGTACACCAAGCCCCAGTGGCTCTGGATGCAGCTGGTCGGCTGCATTCGGTCGTGCGCGCCACAGGCTGGCTTCCTTCCATCAAGTTCGGCTCGCAGCCATGGAAAAGGGTTGTGTACAGCATGCTCTGTCCAGGCCTGTGAATGATGACACAATTGTCGCCATTGCTTATACGCTACCTAGGCTGCGCTTCGCACTATTGCGTCCCCGCTCAACGGCAACGTTGTCACTCTTTCTGTGCATTGGTAACTCTTTCTTGGCATTGCCGTGTGAACTGCCCGCATGTGGCTTGCTTGGATCCGTGTCAAACCCGAACCTGATTATCCAGATAGGGGCTGGTAATACATTCTCTTTCCCTCTGGGTCGCCCCCGTCGCATCCAACGCTCGGGCTTTCGGTCGGGCTCGTCTATTGACTGTCATTGGCCGTCTTTCCCTGTTGATTTACCATGTTCGGCGGTGGCGCGCCACCCGCCGGTACACGGAAGGAACACGCCTGAAGCAAAGCCTTCGGCGAACAAACAACTCCTCCCTCTCCTCCTCGCTATCGCCCATCCCCCCTCCTGCCTTCGCCCTTGCCTCCCTCGACCTCCCACACCTCCACGCTTTCCCTCTCTTCCCTCTCCCCTTTCTTATTCTTCTCCTCCCTCTCATCCTTCCCTTCCACGCCCTCCCCCATGTCCCCCCCCTGCTCCACGACCTCCTCCTCGTCCTCGTCCTCTTCCTCCTCCGCGTCCTCTTCGTTTCACCATCCTCCTCACCCACTCCTCCTCTCCACTTCAGAGTCTCCAGGGTGGGAGGAGCGAAGAAGGCGCAGCAGCACGAGCACATGGGCGAGGACGTCCCACGACGAAGCGGCCGACGCCGACGAGGACGACGCCAACACCAGCGCCTCAACGCCGGCGCCGACGATGACAACGACGACGCCGACGACGGCGGCGACGCCGACGCCGCCGACCCCCAAGCCGACGGCGCCGCCGCCGCCGACGCCGGCTGCAGCCGCGTGGCGGCGCCTCGTCGCCGCACTCGCTGCTGCCTGCCTGGGTGGACGCGGCTTCGTCGTCGGCGGCGCGCTCAGCGGGCACGCCACGGCCAACCACCTGGCAGGCGGCGAGGCATCCCGCCTCCTGCCGCCGGCGTCGCCTGCTCCTCCCTCTTCCGCTTCCTCTTCCACCCTCTCCTCCTCCTCCTCCTCCTCCTCCTCCTCCTCCTCCTCCTCCTCCTCCTCCTCCTCCTCCTCCTCCTCCTCCTCCTCCTCCTAGTGGCGGGGGCGCATGCAGGCTGCGCAGCTGGGACGTTCGGCGGAGCTCCCTACAAGGCCACGAAGCGTGTGAGGGGGGAGTCAAAATGAGTGGTGGGGACGCATGCGGGCTGCGCAACTGGGACCTTCGGTGGAGCTCCTCTAGGGCCACGAAACGTGTGAGACGTGTGCCGAGTGGTGGCGGGGACGTATGCGGGCTGCGCCACTGGGACCTTCGGTGGAGCACTTATTGGGCCACTGCAGCTCACTGTGGGGCCGCGAAACGTGTGAGGAGTGTGCCGACATTGGTGGCGGGGCGCATGCGGGCTGCGCCACTGGGACACTCGGCTGAGCTCGCATAGGGGCCCACGAAGCGTGTGAGGGGTGTGCCTAAATGGGTGGCGACGACATATGCGGGCTGCGCGACCCCGACCTTCGGCAAAGCTCTTGCAAAGCCACATAATTGCCGAACTCCTCTAGGGCCACGAGCCGTGTGAGGTGTGTGCCGACATGGGTGGCGGGGACGCATGCGGGCTGCGCCACTGGGACCTTCGGTGAAGCTCCTATGGGGCCACGAAACATGTGAGGTGTGTGTGTGTGCCGAAATAGGTGTCGGGCACACATGCGGGCTGCGCCACTGGGACCTTCGGTGGAGCTCCCTATAGGTCAACGAAGCGTGTGAGGGGTGTGCCGAAATGGGTGACGGGGACGCATGCAGGCTGCGCCGCTGGGACACTCGGTAGAGCTCCTATGGGAGCCACGACGCGTGTGAGGGTTGTACCGAAGTGAGGGGGCTGACGGGAGGAGGGAGGGGGGGGAGGAGGTGGAGAAGAGGAGGAACGCGGGGACTATCTCTTCGAAGCGAGGACCCAACAACAAGTTGGTTGGGAAACAAGGAAGTACAGATCCACGGACCCTCAGCTTCAGAGTGTCATCGCGTCGAAATCAGTTTCGGCACGCCCGTCGGCGAGCCCGCACCCCCCGCAAGACGGTACACGGTGCACCTTCCTCCACCCCCCCCCCCGTTCATCGCCGCCCCCCCCCCTCCCTCGCGACGCAACGCCCCGCCTCGGCCGGCCCCCCCCCCCCCCTCGGCTGCGCGCACGAGGGGGCAGCGTGAGGTGTGACGGCTTCTCCGGAGGAAACTGCTTCTCAGAAGGCGCCGGCCCCGCATCTGCGGGCAAGGCCCGGGCCCTTCCGAGAAGCAAGGGGTGCTCCTGGGAAGCCCTCCCCCCCTCCCTCCCCCTGTGGGGCCGAGGCTTCTTCGTCGTGGACTCCGCCTTCCGCGCGTGGCCGATACCCCCCCTTTGCACCTCGGGGCGCCGCGACACCGCTCCGCCTCCTCGTTGAGCAGGGACCGACCGTCCTGGCATTCCTATAGGCCTGAAACGACATGTTTCTAGAACCCAACAATACTTTAATAACAAAAAGCAATGTTCTCAGAACATCAGCCCGATGTGATACAACAAGCCATCCTCGGCCAGAAATGCTTTCAGAACATTTCGTGGAAACCACAAAAAGGTACTTAGCACATCATTTGGTAGGCCGATCGGACTGCCAGGACGCCTCGTCACTGCTTGCCCCTTCGCACCTCGGGGCGCCGCGACACCGCTCCGCCCCCTCGGCGCCCCCTCCCCCCGCCCCGCTTTGGACACCCGAAATGGGTACCGAAAGAATGGGCAACATGCCCAACAACAAATGTTGTCCCAAGCCAACAGCGGCCGCTGTTGGGCAGGCGGCCTTCTGTCTCGAATGGACACAGGCCGCGGCGGCGTGGACAGCGAGTCCTGTTCAGAATGAACAAGAACTGCTGTTAGGCATCGTACCCAATCTTTCCGTGCCCATCTCGGGCGTCCAGACCCTCGGCGCCCCCTCCCCCCGCCCCGCACGACGGCCCCTCGGCGCCCGCCGCCCGCCGGCCGTCCGCTCGGTCGGGCCCCCTCCGCCTCGGGGCCTCGCCGCTCGCGCCCAGCGAGGGTCGGGTCGGGCGAAAGGGGGAGATAGCGAAGGGGGGGTTTGAGAATCAGCTCACGGAGCTGATTTTCCCGGCGCCTCCCGGCGCCGGAGGCGGCTATGTATCGAGGAATGGGCCCCTGGATGAGGCCGAAACCAGCTGCATGCAGCAAATTTCGTAACCCCCCCTTTCCCAATCCCCCCCTTTCGCCCGGCCCGAGAGGGCTCCAGGACGGCCCGAGAGGGCCCGCAAACTTGGCGTTGGCCCCCCGAGTCGGCGGAAGATGTGCAAGGAGAGTGCTCCGTAGAGTCAACCCGTATAGCAAGGATGCGCGATGAGGATGCAAAGGGCCTTGGACGCCCATCTCGAAGCGTTTCGAGCGGGGCGCGACCAACGAAAGTGGCCCAGGACGGGCCGAGGAGGCAAGGATGCAAGGGTATCCTTAGGAAGGTTGCCCATCCTTGCTATGCGGGTTGACTGTAGACCTACCGACATTGCACGCATGCCAAGAAGATTCGACGACAGGGCAATTCTGGTGCATATCCGTCCTGCACCCGATCCCCTGCTCGAAGACGGCCCTGAGGGACACCAAGAGGTCCCAGAGGCGGTCCAGAGATGCTGCCCTCGGTAGTCCCCACGCGTAGTGGTGACAACGCCCAGCGGTGAGCCTCGGGCGATTTGGTGTCACCACGTGATTTGGGGACTCGCGCGGTTTTTCGAGTCCTGAACGCTGGTGGGCCCAGGAGTCACAACGCCGGCGGGGACCCCGCGTCCCCAAACCCAGCGGTGGCTTCTGGGGGATTCCAAGTCGCCACCTGGTATCTTACCACCTGCTTTAACGGGGGTCAACGATTTGAAAAATATTTGGGGCCGGACGATTCAACAAATGCGCCGATCCGGCGTGTGAGTTTTTGAGAGCGTGGGCTTGAGCTCGCTCAAGCTTCGCTCTGCAAGGGGGGGGGACGCCAACGACGAAAGAATTGACACGCAAGGCCTCTGCAAGGGGGGGGGGACGCCAACAACGAAAGAATTGACACGCAAGGCCTATGCAAGGGGGGAGGGGCGGGAGAGGAGGGGGGGGACAGCGAGGGGGGGGGGACAGGAGAGGGGGGGGGGGGGGAAAGGAGAGAGAGGGCGGGGAGGACAGGAGGAGGGGGGGGGCGGACAGGAGAAAGGGGGGGGGGGGACAGGAGAGAGGGGGGGGGAGAGGGAGGGGGGGGACAGGAGAGAGGGGGGGGGGGGGGAAAGGGGGGGGGGAAAGAGGGGGGGGGGAAAGAGAGAGGGGGGGCGGCGACAGGAGCGAGGGGGGGGGAGAGGACGGGGGGGGAGATGGCGAGGGGGTGGGACAGAGAAGAGGGGGGGGGGACAGCAGGCAGGGGTGGAGGGGGAGGGAAAGGAGAGAGGGAGTGGTGGGGGGGACAGGAGAGAGGGGGGGGGGACAGGAGAAAAGAGGGGGGGTGGGGTGGGGTGTACGGGATCATCACCATCTCTCCATCACCATCATCGTCACATCACCATCATCGTCATCATCATCATCATCATCATCATCATCATCATCATCATCATCATCACCACCACCACCAGCAGCAGCAGCAGCAGCAGCAGTATCAACATCATCAGCATCAACATCATCATGATCATGATCATGGTCGTGATCATGATAATGATCATGATCATGATCATCATCACCATCACCATCACCATCACCATCACCATCACCATCCCATCACCATCACCATCACCATCACCATCACCATCACCATCACCATCATCATCATCATCATCATCATCATCATCATCATCATCATCATCATCATCATCATCATCCTGAGGGCCCCGGATCGGCGGCACTGGCCGGAGATCACTACAATAGTTTCGCCGGCCAGGGTGCCCCGCATTAAGGGGAGACGGAACTCGGCCCTCGGAGGGTGACAATTCGGGTTGGCCCCTGGGCCGTCTGGAGGGCCAGGGGGGGCCCGAGGGCGGACAATTCGGAACGGGGGTTGGCTGACGACTCAGCAAGGACAAGGCCGATGGCAAACCACTCCGCCCTCCGCCTCCTGTCACCCCGTCCCCTCCCCCTATACTGCCTCCCCATTATATCTCCTCTTCCTTCCTCATGATCCCTGTTCCTCTCCCCCTTCCGTCCCCTTTTGTCCTTTCCTTTTTTCCCTCCCCCTCCTCCCTCCTCTCTCGTTTTCCCCCTTCCCCCCTCTTCCCTCCGTTTCAATCCTCGCCCATGTTCCCCTCTCCTAGTCACCCATCCTCCTCCATCCTCCTGTCGCTGCCAAACGCCCGCACGGACGAACCGCAGTCGTTGACAGGCGCCGACTCGCGAGCACAATCCGCCCTGCCGGGGGCGCCGCCGGGGAGAGGTCGGAAAGGGGGACGATGCAGAATCATGTTTCGGCGCGAACTGGCCGTTGATATTGATGTCGCTGCTTCGGCCGTTGCGTGGCCGCTGCAACTGCGCACAGGAAGCGACGGAGGGGGGGGGGCGCCGATAGCCGACGATTCGAACGGCAAGGCGAACGGCAAGGATAAGGCCGAAAGCCATGGGCTGACCATCCTGCCTCCCAATTTTCCCCATCCCCATATACCCTTCCCCCGTCCATTTTCAATCCCCCTCCCTCGCATCCCTTCCTCTCGTCCTCATTCACCTCCTCTTCCTCCTCCTGCTCCTCCTGGCCGTCCAGTCGGACGACCTGCCCTCCACCCCCGCACCCCTCGGGGAGTCGCGCGATCCCTGGCTGCGGTCCTTGGCGCTGCAAGGCCTGGCGGGCACTCGCCAGGCCCGTGTCTCCTACGGGGCCCGCGCCCGTCACGAGGGTAGCACGAGGGCATACCAGGCATGCGGTAGCAAACATCAGGTGGCTTGAAATGGGGGGGGAGGGCGCGCCGCGCCC